AAATAATTAAAATATCGGCGAACTTCAGTGATCTGTTTCTCGAGTTTTATCGGACACTCACTAACCAAACGGCGACTAAACTCAAAGTTTTCTCAAACTTCAACATTGCGTACAACAAGAATATTCTGTATATTCTGCTGTTTTTATGGATAATATGTGTTAACTTTATATCCAAGGCGTTTAGTAGTGTTTTTAGGAACTCTTACTTTAGGTTCAAACCTACTTTGATAACCGAATCGTTGGAAGATCTCATGGATAACAAGGCTCTAATGATAGCTGGAAGGGCTGCCATTCCTTATTTAAAAGCGTATAAGGACCCATATTTTAAGGATATTGCCACGACTATAGTAACCAGGGTCAGGACTTACGAGAACAAAATCGGAATAAACACAAAAAAGAATAGTTTAGATTTAATTAATGAGCGCTTACTAACTGATTTATATGGCGGAGGGGCTGTTTTGGTGCTTAACTCAATGATGGGTGATATCTTTATACAATTTTTAGCCGGTACCAATTTGCACCGATCAACATATAAATACGGTCAAACCTATGCTAACTTAGTGATTTCTAAACATAATATATATTTTCATTTAATTTATAAATTGTAAGTAGTATAATATTAGTCATATTTTATAAGCAATCTTATATGTTATATTTTAGTTTAAAGTTAGGCTATGAATGTGGTCTAATCGCACACACCCAGGCAATTCAGCACATGGCGACAGGGGTTATGGTTAAGGGATGGGTAGCTGATACTCTAAGAAAAATGTCAAAACACACTCAAATCTATGTGCATTGTTTGGACAAACCAGATTTGAAAATATCACTTGGTGATTTCTACCGTGGATGCCTGTTAACACTGTTCATCACCTATACGATGGCTATTTTGTGTCTTATATGGGAATTGCGTTCAAGTATTAATGACTGGTAATTGACTTAATTACTAATTATGCAAGTTATAAAATTTATTATGATTAACTAATTGTTTAAAATTTTGTAACTAGTTTGCGAGCGGTTTCACATTATTTCAATATAATCTGGTCAAACATCAAGGTCTTAATGTTAAAGTTCTGTGGTTTATTATGTGTAAGAATTAAATAGTTGTTTGTCAATTATCTGTCTTTAAAACATATTTTGCATTCAATTCACAATTTTTTATAACAACAGTTTTTTATATAAAAATATTTACATAATATCAAATTCATTAATGTGTAACAAGTTTAGCAATACTAATTAGTATTGACTTTACTGTATATCAAATGTTGTTGATTTTTAACACAAATTATTAGTTGATAATGGCTTGTACATTTAACAATAATAAAAGTGAAAATAGTATAATTATTTTTATACTGTATTTGACATTTTCTCAATAATAATTTACTAATTTTATTAAAATATTGATTTAAAATAATAGAATTTTGTTGATTTTTATACATATACTTGTACTTATATAAACTGAACAAGTTAGCAGTATAGTATATTAATGTAAATTAATAATAAATATAGAACCACCTAGTTTTTAATATTAATATTATGACATACTTAATTGTATTTTGTTTATTTACAAAGTGGATAAATAAATATTATCGCCTGTTTAGTAAACACTTAATTATAATAAACTGTACAAATTTTAATGAAATTCAAGAACAACTACAATAAATTATTTTTAAAATATTTTACAAATTTTTGTATTTTAAATATGAATGATACGGCTACGGCAATATATAAGTCATTCCTTAATAAACTGCCAATCCAATCAATTAGTTACGAAAATAACTCTGCTCACATTTTAATACATGTATGTAAGCAACATAATGTCACTCAGTTCGATGACACTGTTTATCTTGCTAAACCCGAACACATGGTTTGTTATCTTGCTTGAAATAATTTTAAACTAATTAATAAGATATTTCTATTATTTTTTGCATCTAGACTCATTTTGATTCATTTTATCTATCATTTCTACAATACTTGTTATGTGTATTAAAACTGAATGTCTTAGTTGTGAAGCGATGTGTGGATGCAATAAAGGTTACGATTGAAATTAAAATTGTAATTTATATTTGTAGTTTAATAATAATATTACTCCTAATCAATTAGCTTAATGGAACCTGTCTTAGCAAGGGCAATTTTAGTAACTATAATTATTCCACCACTAGTTTTGTACAGTATGGCCAGTATTTCCAGATTGAAATCATAAGCGTTTTATTGTTCACTGAAGTTCGCCGTTATTTCGGTTATTTTTCATTATTCTCGCTACAGGTTAGCAATTAATCTTTATTTAAATAATAATAATATTTATGTGATTAAAGTGTTGGTTGGCCCTGATATGGCTGCACATAATGTACACATTTATTACGCACCGTATGTGTGACTCCAGGATATCATTCAGTGATCTGTTTCTCGAGTTTTATCGGACACTCACTAACCAAACGGCGACTAAACTCAAAGTTTTCTCAAACTTCAATCACATTAGATTTGTTCACAGAAAGAATATTCTGTATATTCTGTTGTTTTTGTGGATAATATGCGTTAACTTTATATCCAAGGCGTTTAGCAGTGTTTTGCGGAATTCCTACTTTAAGTTCAAACCTACTCTGATGGCCGACTCGTTGGAAGATCTCATTGATAACAAGGCTCTAATGATAGCTGGAAGGACTGCCATTCCTTATTTAGAAGCTTATAAGGACCCATATTTTAAGGATATTGCCAAGACTATAGTTACCAGGGTCACGACTTACGAGAACAGAATCGGAATAAACACAAAAAAGAATAATTCAGTTTTAATTAATGAGCGCTTACTAACTGATTTATATGGCGGAGGGGCTGTTTTGATGGTTAACTCAATTATTGGCAATATCTTTATTCAATTTTTAGCCGGTACTAATTTGCAATCATCGACTTATAAGTATGGTCAAACCTATGCTAATTTTGTGGTCTCAAAGCATAATAGATATTTTCGTAACATTACCAACATGTGTGTAAAATAATATACCCACATATTTTAAACCAATTTGTATTTATATTTATAAATTGTTTTACATTTTTAGTTTTAAATTAAGCGTTGAGTGCGGTTTAATGGCACATACCCAGGCAATTCAGCAAATGGCCACAGGAGTTATGGTTAAGAAATGGGTGGCAAGTTCTGGGAAAACACCAACATATACGCCCACCACTGATAAGACTGATAAGAAAATATCACTTGGTGATTTTTATAGGGGATGCCTGTCCACACTTTTCATAGCATACACAATGACTATTGCGTGCGTTTTATGGGAATTGCGTTTAATTATAAACAAATTGTAACATAATTATATTTAATTAATTGTAATATAATTAATTTGGCATATTAATATTTAATTATTTTGGATATTTATAATTAGCTTTCGACTGGTAGCACATACTCTGGTCATAATCTGGTCAATCATCAAGGTCTCACTATTGAAGTTCAGTGACTTTCTAATGGCTAATAGTATATATGGTAATGGGTTGACCCATAATTTTTAAAATAAATTGCTGTATATTAAAACAGTTGTAATAATGTTTTATTACAATATAAAATAATGGCAATTATTCCTTTAATAAAATTATAAATCAATAAACCATTAAAAGTATTTTATGAAATAGCATACAAACATTTTTTACAGTAATTCAATAACAAGTCTAAAACATCATTCAATTTCTTAATAGTTTTGATAAAACAAGAGATAAGGATTGAAAAGTGGAAACCAGACCTAATTTAGATAGACTACCAGTGCTCAAGGCTATGGATCGAGTTTATCAGGGAGAGTATGCTAGCGTACGGCACGACTCTAGGTACAAAACATTTTCCACTCAAGTGGTTTTCGTGGTGTAGTGGTTATCACGTGTGCCTCACACGCACAAGGTCCCCGGTTCGATCCCGGGCAAAAACATTTTTACTTTTTTGGTTTATATTTTTATTTACAATATCTGACCTAGCAATTAATGTGCTAACATTCATTTTGCTAGTTTAACGGTACTTGTCTCAGCAACGGCAATTTTGTACACTACAATTATACCACCACTGGTTACGTACAGTACGACCAGTACTTTCAGATTGAAATCATTAGTGGTTTGCAGTTCACTGAAGTTCGCCGATATTTTAATTATTTTACACTTTTTTCGCTACAGGTATACCTAATATTTTGATTTATAATTATTATTTTATAATTAATATGATTAAAGTGTTGGTTGGCCCTGATATGGCTGCACATAATGTACACATTCATTACGCACCGTATGTGTGACTCCAGGATATCATTCAGTGATCTCTTTCTCGAGTTTTATCGGACACTCACTAACCAAACGGCGACTAAACTCAAAGTTTTCTCAAACTTCAACATTGCGTACAACAAGAATATTCTGTATATTCTGCTATTTTTATGGATAATATGCGTTAACTTTATATCCAAGGCGTATAGTAGTGTTTTGAGGAACTCCTACTTTAGGTTCAAACCTACATTGACAGCTGAATCGTTGGAAGATCTCATGGATAACAAGGCTCTAATGATATCCGAAAGGGCTGTTATCCCTTATTTAAAAGCGTATAAGGACCCATATTTTAAGGATATTGCCAAGACTATAGTTACCAGGGTCATTACTTACGAGAAGAGAATCGGCATAAACACAAAGAAGAATTTAGATTTAATTAATGAGCGCTTACTAACTGATTTATATGGCGGACAGGCTGTTTTGATGCTTATCTCAATTACGGGCGATTTGTTTATTCAATTTTTAACCGGTACCAATTTGCACCGATCAACATATAAATACGGTCAAACCTATGCTAACTTAGTGATTTCTAAACATAATATATATTTTCATTTAATTTATAAATTGTAAGTAGTATAATATTAGTCATATTTTATAAGCAATCTTATATGTTATATTTTAGTTTAAAGTTAGGCTATGAATGTGGTCTAATCGCACACACCCAGGCAATTCAGCACATGGCTATTTATAAATTGTAAGTAGTATAATATTAGTCATATTTTATAAGCAATCTTATATGTTATATTTTAGTTTAAAGTTAGGCTATGAATGTGGTCTAATCGCACACACCCAGGCAATTCAGCACATGGCTACAGGGGTTATGATTAAGGGATGGGTAGCCGATAATCTAAAAAAATGTCAAAACACACTCAAATCTATGTGCATTGTTTGGACAAACCAGATTTGAAAATATCACTTGGTGATTTCTACCGTGGATGCCTGTTAACACTGTTCATCACCTATACGATGGCTATTTTATGTCTTATATGGGAATTGCGTTTAAGTATTAATGACTGGTAATTGACTTAATTACTAATTATGCATGTTATAAAATTTATTATGATTAACTAATTGTTTAAAATTTTGTAACTAGTTTGCGAGCGGTTTCACATTATTTCAATATAATCTGGTCAAACATCAAGGTCTTAATGTTAAATTTTTGTGGTTTATTATGTGTAAAAATTAAATAGTTGTTTGTGAATTATCTGTTATTAAAAAATATTTTGCGTTGAATTCACAATTTTTTATAACAAGTTTTTTATATAAAAATATTTGCATAATATCAAATTCATTAATGTGTAACAAGTTTAGCAATACTAATTAGTATTGACTTTACTGTATAACGTAGCAAATGCTGTTGATTTTTAACTCAAATTATTATTACCTGTACATTTAACAATAATAAAAATGTAATTAGTATAATTATGTTTATACTGCATTTGAAATTTTCTCAATTGTTATTAAATTATTATTTACTAATTTTATTAAAATATTGATTTAAAATAATAGAATTTTGTTGATTTTCATACATATATGAATTGCACAGATACATGTACTTATATAAACTGAACAAGTTAGCAGTACAGTAAGTTATATTAAAGTAAATTAATAATAAATATAGAACCACCCAGATTTTAATATTATTATTATGAAATATTTAATTGTATTTTGTTTATTTGCAAAGCGTATAAATGAATATTATCGCCTGTTTAGTAGACACTTAATGAATTTCAATGAAATTCAAGATCTTCTACAATAAATTATTTTAAAAATATTTTACATCATTTTTGTATTTTAAATATGAATTATACGGCATACTATAAGTCATCCCTTAACAAACTGCCAATTCAATCAATTAGTTACGAAAATAACTCTGCTCACATTTTAATACATGCGTGTAAGCACCATAATGTCACTCAGTTCAATGGCGCTGTTTATCTTGCTAAAACCGAGTACATGGTTTGTTATCTTGCTAGAAATCATTTTAAACTAATTTGTAAGATATTGCTATTATTTTTGGAATCTAGACTCATTTCGATTCATTTAACCTATCATTTCTACAATACTTGTTATGTGTATTAAAACTTAATGTCTTAGTTGTGAAGCGATGTGTGGATGCGATAGAGGTTTCAATTGAAATGAAAATTGTAATTTCTATTTGTAGTTTAACAATAATATTAATCGTAATCAACTAGCTTAATGGAACCTGTCTTAACAAGGACATTTTTGATGATTATGAATACAATTATACCACCACTAGTTTCGTACAGTATGGTCAGTATTTCCAGATTGAAATCATAAGCGTTTTGTTGTTTACTGAAATTCGCCGTTATTTCAGTTATTTCTCATTATTCTCAGTAGAGGTTAGCAACTAATCTTAATTTAATTAATAATTATAATTTTATATAATAATATGATTAAAGTGTTGGTTGGCTCTGATATGTCTGCACATAATGTACACATTCATTACGCACCGTATGTGTGACTCCAGGATATCATTCAGTGATCTGTTTCTCGAGTTTTATCGGACACTCACTAACCAAACGGCGACTAAACTCAAAGTTTTCTCAAACTTCAACATTGCGTACAACAAGAATATTCTGTATATTCTGTTGTTTTTGTGGATAGTATGCGCTAACTTTATATCCAAGGCGTTTAGCAGTGTTTTGCGGAACTCCTACTTTGAGTTCAAACCTACTCTGATGGCCGAATCGCTCAATGATATCATTAATAACATGGATATTATGATCGCCGGGAGAGGTGTTGTCCCCTATTTAAACTATTCGGATCCATATTATGAGCAAAACTATAGGAAAATTGCAAAAAGAATCTCTGATTACGAAAACAGACTCAAAATAGACACAAATGAGGAGAAAACTGATCTAGTTGATGACACATTATTATCAGATTTATTTGGTGGTAGGTTAGTTTTGCTAATAAACTCCGATATGGGCCACAACTTTATACAATACTTTGCCGGCTCTAATTTGCAATCATCGACTTATAAGTATGGTCAAACCTATGCTAATTTTATGGTCTCAAAGCATAATAGTTATTTTCGTAACCTGACCTACATGTGTGTAAAATACTATGCCCACATATTTTAAAGCAAATTGTATTTATAATTATTAAGTGTTTTATATTTTTAGTTATAAATTAAGTGTTGAATGCGGTTTAATGGCACATACACTGGCAATTAAACACATTGCCACCGGTCTTATGATTAAGGAACTGGTGACAACACCAACATATACACCCACCTCTGATAAGACTGATAAGAAAATATCACTTGGTGATTTTTATAGGGGATGCCTGTCCACACTTTTCATAGCGTACACAATGGCTATTGTGTGTGTTTTATGGGAATTGCGTTTAATTATAAACAAATTGTAACATAATTATATTTAGCTACTATAATTAATTTGGCATATTAATATTTAATTATTTCTGATATTTATAATTAGCTTTCGACTGGTAGCACATACTCTGGTCAGAATCTGGTCAATCATCAAGGTCTCACTATTGAAGTTCAGTGACTTTCTAATGGCTAATAGTATATATGGTAATGGGTTGACCGATTGTAACTAGTTTGCGAGCGGTTTCACATTATTTCAATATAATCTGGTCAAACATCAAGGTCTTAATGTTAAAGTTCTGTGGTTTATTATGTGTAAGAATTAAATAGTTGTTTGTGAATTATCTGTTATTCAAAAATATTTTGCATTCAATTCACAATTATTTTGTAACAACAGTTTTTTATATAAAAATATTTGCGTAATATTTTTATTAATATTGTAATACACTGACTATAGTTACATAATAACAAAACTATACCTAACAATACCTATTGTGTGACATTCTAGAAAAAAACTAGAAATATATTTCTAGAATGTTTGCATAAAGGCTATTGTTAGGGGACTGCTATAAAAAGGGAACATCATGTCATGTATGGGAGAGTTAGCCCATTGTGAGACCACTATTATATGATCACTGGCTATGAGTGGCACATAAGACCAGTTTTTATTGTCAAAGTTATACCTTGGGGACTGCTATAAAAAGGGAACATCATGTCATGTATGGGAGAGTTAGCCCATTGTGAGACCACTATTATATGATCACTGGCTATGAGTGGCACATAAGACCAGTTTTTATTGTCAAAGTTATACCTTATATAAGGTATACTTGAATTGAATGTAAAAACTATTTGAACTGAAATAATAAATAAATTTGTGATTAATAAACTTGTGTATTTTAATATACTGGACCCTAATGAACAAGCTCAATTAACATTTAATTAAACAACTACGTAAGTTCTTTGTGCTGACAATTACCAAGATCAGCCAATGCTTACAATTGGTGACACGCGAACATGATGAACATTAGCAACTAATTGTGGTAAAAAGTTATTGGAGTCGACACATTTAAGAAAATACAAGATATTTTGAAAACATCTGAAGATTGTATCAAGATCAAGTATTTGGATTGGAGTCAAAAATTTGATAAAATTACTAATCAGGATAACAAACTTAACTTAGTAATTGATAACTCTCATTCTAATACAAGTACTGTATTAAAAAGTGACATGTTCACACAAACTGAAATTATGGTCATAATTACTGTTTACACAGAATCCTCAACTCAAACCAATAATGCTGATAATAACCTAGGTGAAATGAATAAAAATTCCAATTATAATATTAAAATTGAACAGAGTAATATAGTTAATGAAATAATACAACAAAATCCTGAACATAGTTTATCGCAATATGCTAATAATCTAAAGTCTATTAACAACAGTAACTTACCAAAATCATTTAATAATACAAATAATTCAGTTAAATTTAATGTCAGTGAACCAAAAGTAAATGTAACATCTAAGCTTAAAAATATATCTTTAAATAAAGCAAAATTTAATTACCCTGTTTATAATAAATCGAATGAGAATATCTTTGAACAATCAAAAATAGACCTACGAAATAATTATGACATACTATAAGCTTAGAAATAATAAGTTTAAGTTTACAACACAATTATTATTATGCAGTATAATTTTATTTACAATCTTTATGGTAAAGAATCAAAACATGCATGTTAATCAAACTAAAATAAGATATTTAAAAAATATAAAAATATGAAATTATACAAACTTGTTTATGACAAGTTTAAATTATTTAAACCTAAGATATTGTTTTACAGATTAAATATTTTAAAAATATACATAATTAGTAAAGTTTTAAAACTTTATGGAAAGTTTAAAATTAAAATAGCACCTCAATTTACATGAAATTTGAACATTTAGAAAATTGTTAGTTTAAATGTAAATGTTGAACAATTTAAAATGCAGTATGAAAATAAATATATTTCTGACACGGAAATTCAATCTGAATATGGTAGCAGTGATTAAAGATTCAAAAAGTATTAGACATAACAAACTTGATTAAAACTATTTTATAACCATGAATTTTTAAAAATAAACAAGCATATTCTGGATCAAAATATTTTAAATAAGACGGTTGATTTTATGGCATTTACTTTGCTTGAAGTTAACTAAGTGAAATTATACGATATATGACTAAAGTTTTTTTGTTTTATTTGACAAAATAAAAATGTTCATTTGTCTTTATTAGATATATTAAGACAATTATTTAGTAATTGTTTATAAACATTATACTTTTGACAAGTATATTTGTCGTTGATTGAATTTTTGATTATTTTGATAATAATCTGATAATTTTTATGTTAGACATTTTTTTTGATAAAATGTAACATACTTAAATATATTAATTTTGTAAGAGAAGTTCTATGAGATTTATTATTATTAGTAGTAGTTTTAGTAGTGTTAGTTTAAGTAGGAGTAGTAGTATTAGTAGTAGTAGTATTGTAGTATTGTAGTAATAGTAGTTTTTATTATCATGTATATTGTATAATTATTTTAGTTATTTTAGTAGGATAAGTTAGGTTAGGTTAATGTAAGTTAAGGTTTTTATTTTATTTATGAGTATCGATTTTATTAGTAGAAAATTATTTTAATGTTTATTATTATAATTTAAGCATGAACATTCATATTTTAGTTAATCGTGCACTTTTAACCTGGTGATTGTTGGGTTTAGTTTATGAGAGTCGATTGCTGTGCATTTTGGAATTTTTGTATCCAGATTAATGCCTTTAATTACCTTAAAAAATAACTTATTAAATTTCTAAATAATCAAATCTTACACTAATTTACTTAAGCAAAGGTCCTTTAAAAGCAACTCGTATTTGCCAGAAAAATTTGTTGCCTACAAAGGAATTTGCCTATATGAGACTAAACATTTATTTCTATTAATAATACATAAAATAAGTTCTAAAGCAAATAAACAGTGATTTTAGGCTGTTTAGCATTTAATTTGACTAAATATATTTAACTGAGTTAAAATATTTGGTGCCAAAAGGTATGG